TTGTGACTGAGCACTCATTTGATATTTCAGTTTCTTGCAAATGTGAAAGAACAATTTCCCGGTGCTTTAAGAATGCTGTGCCCGCTGTGTGTTAAAAAATCACGTTGGTTCTAATAACGTTTGATTTCATAAAGTGGCTGATTTCGTAAACTGGAACATCTACATTCATTAAAAATTGTTTCAACTTGAAACTTCACAAATACTCTAAAAGTTGAATTGATCACAGTATTTACTTTCATTTCAGTAGAATTTACATTTGACATTTTAATCAAACATAAACAAAATTTTTAATTTGCAGAAGGGCTTTAAAATGTTAGCAATTTGAAGTTAGCAATTCACCTTGGTTTAGTTTATAAAAGTTTTTGTAACTTTCAATATTTCTTTGCTGTAAAGTTTATTTGCTTTATGGGAGTGAATAACCAATTAACGTAAAAATAAATTATTGAAATTTAACTGTAAAATCCTAAGAAAAATCTTTGGTGCTGTCCACGAGAACATTAGCAGATCCTTCTTTACTTAGAAATTTACCAAAAGTAAAAGCAACCTGATATTGTAAAGATGCAATAAACTATGATGGTTTGGACATCTATTCTGATCTAATAATACAATATAGTAAAAAATATCACTTTTTCTTATCCCATGAGAAACAGAAAACGAGAAAGACCTTTAAATATGTAGTTTGACTCGGTGGAGAAGGACTTTCATATAGTGAATAAGGGAAACAGCAGATGGCAAAAACACTTTGGCATGGCTGTAGTACCTTGAAAGAAGAAGAAAGTTAATTTTAAAATGCTAAGTGCTTTTTACACATTTAGAGATTTACATTATGGAATGATGGAGTGAATACTGATCATTGACGATGAATGTTGATAGGCAACTTTTCTTAATTTTTAAGCAGTTTTCGTTTCCATTCCTTTACACTCTTCCTTTTTAACTCTGATCCTTCAGTGTCGTTAAACTGCACAGTCCTCATGTGTAGATTTTTTGTTTTGTTTGGAGACACAGTAAAATTTATAATTTGCATGTTTTCGAAATGCGGGAAATTTTAAAATACTATATTATTCAGACAATATTAAGCAAAGCTTTTCATTTTTAAAACATATACCTGCCAAAATTTGATTTTACAAAATGATGAAAATAAATTCAATAAAGGATGGTTTTAGCATGTTTTGATATTATAATGATTCAGTTCTTGCAGATATAATTTTTAAAAAGTGACCGATTTTATATTCTAGCGATTTTATTAGTGGTGGTCACTATAACTGCATTTTATTTAATATAGATAAGTATTAACTCGTTTCATTTATTATAGATTATCAGTATAATCTCATTTCATTTAATATAGATAAGTAATAATCTGGTTTTAACAATTTTTTAAAAAAAATCTAATTATTCATTTATACTTACCTTATATTTTATTTTTCCTATTAGCCTCCTTTTGCTTGGCCTATTCATGGTGCAATTTCGTTTGTCAATGTAAGCTTATGCTACAGACAATCATCTCCATATGTTTTAAAGAATATTACTTTTGAAACACGTCCTGGTGAAAAAATTGGCATCGTGGGTCGAACTGGATCAGGAAAAACAAGCTTGATACAAGTTCTCTACCGAATGGTCGATTGCTTTGAAGGATCAGTTTTTATAGATGGAGTCAACATTGCTAATCTACCACTTGAAAAATTAAGGTATGCTACCGATTTCTTGTTTTTGATAAAATTTTAACCTTTAAATTGATCCACGTGTCAAAAGGACGATTAAAATCAAGGTGGCATGTAAGTTCACTCAATTTGTACTTGCTAAAAGCATTGTGATCATGTTTTTTAAGTGTAAAAATATTATTTCTTGCCATTTGAAGATACAGTAAAAACTTTATATAACGAGTATGGCCTAATATGAGTAGTTCAGAGTTACACGTTTTTAAGTCACCATCGAAATTCTGATATTAATGATACAAGATGCGGAAATTATATGGCTATAACGTGTTTACTAGCCTTCAGCTATAGCAATAAATCTTTTTTCTTTCCTTTTAATGTTTTGCTTATGGCACTTAGCATGATAAAACCATTCAGGTCCACCTAATATACCAGCAGTTTTTCTCATATTTGAGTGAACAATATTATACAAGAAAGGGTAAAAAGGGAGTTTTTTTTTTTATATTTCCGGTATCAAAATAGAAAAGTTAAAAACAAACATCTTTTCCTTTTATTATAATTTTTTTTTTAACAATTTCAACCCTTATCTTAACTAGTGTAGGTGACCATCAGTCAAGTTGTCTTCCTCCTTAATAAAACTTTTTCGTTTACTATATTTTGGAATTTTGCTGCCTACTTTAAAACAATTCACATTTTATTGACCATGTATCTACCATATCCTATATTGAGTGTGAGATATTCAGTGTGAGATATTCAGTGTTATAAGTGACATCCAAAAGCTATGAAACACTATTTTACTTGTGTCTCTTTTATTGCTATTTTAACATTAAATAAGTTTATATGTTTATCAGGACAAGTTTGCTGTAATTTTCAATTCTATCTGCTTTCATGAATTGTCACTATAGAAGACTTTCCTGTTATTTAAATTTGACTATTTTAAAAGAAAAAGTTATCATTGGAAAACTCTCTATATTTTTAATGCATGAATTTTTGTTTTTAAATATCTTTCAAAAATAAATATAAAGGTTAGAATTGTGTTTGTAAAATGAAAAACTGTTTTCTTCAATAGCAAATCTAAACCTTCGCAGTTTCTATAAAAACGTCTTTTACTGTTTTTAATAATTTATTTCTTATTAATTATCTGATTGATTTCAGATCCAGTTTGTCCGTCATCCCTCAGGATCCCTTCTTGTTTAGCGGCACCATTCGTGAAAATCTCGACCCTTGCTACTTAAAATGTGATTCCCAAATATGGAAAGCTTTGCAAGATTGCCATGTGAAGGACAAAATTCAGAGCTTGGGTGGTTTGGATGTGGAAGTTGAAGAACAAGGTCAAAACTTCAGTGTAGGAGAGCGACAACTTCTCTGCCTGGCAAGAGCACTTCTTAGGAAAGCTAAAGTGAGCAATACTCTTTTTTTAAAAAAAAAAAAAAATATTGCAAATCAAAATTACACCTTCTTTGCTTGGCAAGAGCACCTCTTAGGAAAACTAAAGTGAGCAATACTCTTTTTTTTTTTTAAAAAAATTACAAATCAAAATTACAACTTCTTTGCCTGGCAAGAGCACCTCTTGGGAAAACTAAAGTGAGCAATACTCTTTTTTTTTTAAAAAAAAAATTACAAATCAAAATTACAACTTCTCTACTGGCAGGAGCACTTCTCATGAAAGCTGAAGTGGGCGATACTCTTTTTTTTTTAAAAAAAAGAATTACAAATCAAAATTGCAACTTCTTTGCCTGGTAAGAGAGAGCACTTCTCAGGAAAGCTAAAGTGAGCAATTCACTTATTTTTAAACAAAAAAGTTGAGTGCAGAGGGGGGGGGGAAGAAAAATTCTTCAAAAAGTTTGAGAGTCTAAGGCTTTGACGTAAAAGACTCCTACTCAAAATATTATAAAATAAGTTAAAATATAAATTTTATGTAATACAAAGTCACATTATTATTTGAATTTAATATGCTGAGCTTAAATTACTCGAATAAAAGTTGAAGTTAAAGAAAGAAACCAAAGGGTTTTACTACTTTCTTTTTTAAGATTTGCCAAAATATTCTTTTGTATTGTATAAACAGCCTCTTTCTGAGGGCTTTCATTTCTGTTTAGCTCAGTCTTTTTTTAGCTCTTGGTTGCCTAGGCTGAGGTGTTGCAAGGGCTTGGAGCACTTGGGAACAATTTTGATTTATTCTCCCCTTTTTAGCATGATCTCAGATAAGTTGATGATCAAAAAATATTCCTAGTCGAATATATAATCTAGTAGGGTATAGTGGGAGAATACTGGGTAAATTTATATTGGACAGTGATGACTAAAGGGTCATGCTTTTAGATTATGTTCTTTTGGATTATAAAATATATTTTAAATAAGATTTGGCATTCTTCAAATTTTTTTTTTTATACAAAATAATTTGTTTACTCTTTCTCATTCATGATCTATATGTTATGCAATTGCAGTTTCCAATACACTTATGATGGTTTTAAATGTATTGATAGTTTTGATTAAATAAATGGATAGCCTAAATTCTGAAGACATTTTTAATTTATGATTTTGTTAAAAATAAGTTTAAAGAAAACCCGTGTGCAAGGAAATCTGTAATAATAATAAACAACCTGTTAAATGTTTTAGGTAAATGGGATGGGATAAAAAATGGAAGGAGTAATGGGGTTCGAGTTAGCAGGTGATATTTGAAGGAGTAAAAAAAAATTGAAAATTAATTTCTAATTATGTTATATGAGTTAGAAACCTCTTTTGAGGGACAAATGTCCTCTCTTCCCCTCTAACTACACGATTCTGCCTACTAGGGAAAACATTTATTTCTTTTTGTGATAAAAGTAAAAGTGCAGGCTCAAAGTTGTCCTTAAATTCCTTAATTTCCTTTTAAAAAAATAGAGAGTCCTTAAATGTCTTTAAACATTTTAATAAATGTCCTGAAATTTTTGTGATTTTCCAAATTTTTGTTGAAGAGGAAAAGGAAATATTATTTATCTAAAGGAGACATGAAGAAATTTCAAATTCAAAAATTATGCTATATGCCATGAAACAAAGTAAATAACAAAATGAATGTTCTTCTTTATAGCGCTTCAAGTACGATATTTATCTACTTACAGTGTTCGAGACAATCACCCTTTATTTGATAGCCTAAAAGCATTCAATGTGGGAGAAATATATAAAAAGCTCTTATATCTCTACTCGCTCTTCATAAGACTGTATTGCTACTGTTTTTCACAAGAGAATCCACATATTTTGCTACTACTTTACAATTTTCCTTATTTAGACTATTTTCTCTTCTTTTTATTGTAAATAAAAACCAAATAAGAAATTTTTACGTAACTTAAAAAAAAAAAGAAATCAGAGTTTTTAAAAAAAAAATGTTTTTGTTTTCATTTAAGTGCAGGAACATCTAAAACTATTATCAATTGTATATGTGCAAATCCATTTTGGTGTTGTATAAATTACCCCCATTAGAGAATCAGTATCCTTATATTGTCCTTAAGTTTGGAGGCAATTTTGCCCTTAATTTTTATATTCCACCCCTGTAAGTGTTTATTTTAGTATAGGTGTTTATTTATTTTTTGCTAGATCCTGTGTATGGATGAGGCTACAGCAAATGTAGATTACGAGACGGACAGCCTGATACGCCATACAGTGAGGCTGGCTTTACAGAGATCAACAGTTCTGATTGTTGCTCACAGGATGAAGACCGTACTGGACTGTGATAAAATAATTGTGATGAGAGAGGGTGAAATCATTGAAATGGATGCTCCCTCCGTTCTATTGGCTGATTCTAAGTCAGAATTTCATCGAATGGTTTATAATCAGACTGAGTGAGGGTTCGTTATTGGAGCCCAGATTTTAACTATTCAAATCTGATTCAATCAATACAGTTTACTGAACATAATTTTCACATGTTTGTAAATCTCTTCTTTTTGATAGATGAGTTTTTTGGTATGAAATTATATGTAAGGAATATTAATAATAAGTTATTTAATTTAGAAAGTCAGAAATACAATTCTAACAGAAAACGAAAAATATTTTAAGATTTGTGTGTTAGCAAGATAGCATTTCATCAGGGGACGCACTGTCTGCAAACACACAGGTGCCTCTCTGTCATCAGTGGTAATACCAAAAGACTGTGCCCCGAGGCCCCATAATGGATAAACAAATAAGAAATAGCAGTTAGAAAAATTGAAATGTAAATGCAATGAAAAATTAATGACAAACAAACACAATTTAAAAGTACACAGAATAAGACCTAATAATGAAACGCCATTTATAATAAGAATAAATAAAGATAAAGTTACAGTTAGAATAACCAAATCAAAATAAAATATCAATTGCCAAATCATTAAGAAAACTTTAGAAATCATTAAAAAACTTTAGACCTAGAAAATACACAGAATTTTAAAATAACCTAAAATAACAGGAAAAATTCTGGTAGTTTTGATTTTTTCCTTATAAACAGGGAAAATACAGGGAATTTTATTTCTTATTTTCATCTTTTAAAAAATGGTGACCTCTCAATGCGTAATCTATGGGATATTTAAGGATGATATTTCAATTATATTAAACTATTCCATTTACTATAGCATTAAGTATGTTCAGCTGTTCCTTTTTTTCTCTAAGTTTTTCCAGCTATTAAAACTAGTATAGTTAGCCCAATATAGCTTACTCAAGAGTGCAGTAATTATGTTTCCTCTTAATATATTGTGTATAATATGTACAGTATGTTGATGTGTATAATATGTTGACGACAATGGGAAAGAAGATTAAGGCACGGTGAATTGAGTGCTGCCTATTCATCTCTGTCTAGTGGCGCCACAATTCGTACTAAAAATATTCTATATCTGTGTGTTCAATAAGAAAAAGTTTGAAATTCTGTAACTGTAATTGCGAGAGCTTGGATGACTGAAAGTGAAAGTCAAAAGAATTTAAACTTGAGCCAATAGCTCATAATAAAAAGTTTTATTCCGATCTGTCAAATGGTACGTTTGCCACATGGATCAAAGATCCAACATGCAGGGAGTCTCCTGATGAAATCCTGTATTTAATACAACAAAAAACATTAATGGCAATACAATACAGTGAAGTGTATTGCCATTTTTTTCCCTTTTGTTCTATTTCAATTTAATTACAATTCTCTAATTTCTTATAAGTATTTTTGAAACATATTTTTAGTCTTGCATTTATTTTCACCCTTAGTTACCTAACTTATAGAACAAACTATATAGAATATCAAACTATATATAGAACAAACATTTATGTTTTGTTGTTTAATAAAATTTTTTACTGTTATCTTCGAATAATGTTTTTTTTATTCTGTCATAAGGGATATACAGGTTGTTTTCTAATGACCCCTCTAACCCTTTGACACAAATGGAGGAAACCAATGACCATTTTATATATTTTTTTCCGACGCTTTAATTTTGAGCAAAAATATATTTTTAACCAAAGAAAACAGTCTAATAGTTACTAAAAAATCTATTAAATTATTGAAATTATATTTGTACTAAAATATAAATCCCTCTCCCCCCAAAAAATTGTTTGAAAAACATTTCTTTTTTTCATTCATATTCAAAATTTTATGAATAATTTATTTTGTAAATTAAGCAAATTTCAATTATAAATAACTGTTTCGCTTATATCTAAATAAGTGCATGTTTTTAAAAAAAAATATTGCTTAAAAGTGAGCCATGTTCAGAAAATTTTACCTTGACATCAGAAAAAGACACTAGTGTTTCATGCTATATTTAATTACCATAAATTATTTAAATGCTGAATATAATATTTTTCATTTATTTCGATATTATTAATAAAAAGTAATGAAAAAAAATTAAAAAGATCTTTAATAAAATTTTCTTTTTAAAAGGTTAAGAGTGTTTTACAGAAAAAGCTTTGAGTGTCTTAAACTCTGATTTTAAACTATGTCATAAAGAATTGGACTTTTTCACCGAAAAAAAGTTTAAATATTTAAAATAGGCTTAAGATTTCATCTAGAAGAGACCTATTTCTTGCATGGCATTGGAAAAACTGGACAAAAATTAAGAATGAGCAATACAATTTTTAAGCAATAAGTATTACATGTATATTTTTAGTTAAAACAAATTAAATTTAATGTAACAGCACAATTTAAATTTGCACTTTTTTTAAAAAAATAACTATTTTAAACTATTTATTTTAGTTACAAACTGAAATTTAAAATTTATATATCATATTATTCTAGAGTCGGTTTGAGCATTTGATTATAAAAATTAAGTATCCTATTTGTTAATGTGAATGCAATATGCGAGTAGTAATGTACAGTGCCCCCCCCCCCAAATGGACTACCCTAAATAACTTATGATCTAATAATTGGATCTTCTGGTTCTAGGACTCTTTCTCAATGGTTCCAAGGGGTGACCTCAAATATGCTAAATAATTAGTACAGGACAATATTTAAACTTAAATCGTACTTTTTCTGAATAAACATACTTTTTTTTGTCGGATTCAGATTTTTGGTTTACAAAATATAGGGAGTAGCTGCAATCTGGGAAATATGGTCCCAATAGTTTGATCAAGACAGCTCTCCAAATTTGGACCCCTTAATGTTAATTTTACTTTTTGCGTAATTTGCTATGTTTCGAGAACTTATTTATTCTTTTATCCGAAGATAATTTCATACAAAGAATAACTTTAAATTATTTTTTTTTAACATTTTATTAAATATCGAGAAGTGTGAATTGTAGGGTATAATTTATTTTTTTTACTTCATTTTAAAAAATTGCTACAATATTTGAGCAAAATCGGTGGAATACCTCCCGAGATATCGATTTTCGAATGTAAGTTTTCTTTAAAATTCGTTTTCGTTGGAGTTATTCGACCGATTTTGTTAAGCATATTGCTCATTTAAAAGTGTCACTTTAGAAGATATATGAGCCTTAATGTATGTTTTTGGAATTATTGTACAAAATGAACCAAAAAAAGCGTACAAAACACTCGAGGATTCCCAAATTCATAATCAAGCAGAAGAAAAAGTAAAAATGCTAACGAAATATTACAAATCACTTCTGAGGAAGGTGGAACTGAAGGCATCAAAACTGCTAATCAGAGGAAATAGAAAGTGTTTAGAAGGGTAGCACGAGAAACAACCTCAGGCAATCAAACTGGTTTTGATGTTCTAGGTGCCACCCTCCTCGTTAGATTTTGAAAGGGGTTTTGTATTTTTTTTTTGCTTAATTGTCAGTTTGGAACCTATACTCTTTTGACTTCCTTTTCGACAGGGATTTTAAAACTACAATATTAAGAGCGGTCATTAGAGAAAACCTTTTATATTTTATCACTGTTTCACAAGATACATGATATTTTTAATGTGATATATTTCATAAGTGCTCAATATTCAAGTTCGAAATGGGCCATATTTTTTTCACTGTGTTATATTGTGCAATTTAATGTGTTACGATAGCGTTTAAAGCTGTTTCATTATTTATGCGTTTGTTAAACTGAAATTATTTATATTTGTATAGATATAATCTTATGTATTTTATAAACGAATAAATTATATTTGTAAAATGCTATGATTGCCTACAAGATTTTTATTTTTAATCACGATCCCTCTGTAGAGGAGATGAGTTCGGGCACGCTTTGGGGGGTACGAACACGAGGAATTTTAATCCGAGCTCACCTGGGCTGGATATACATAGGGTTACTTAGAGCCTGAGCATGCATGCGTCGAATAGGCCACATTTTGCTGTCTCGTCTCTCAGCCTTTGAAGACAAAACAAGGAAATTAATCATTAAAACCATTTTATCAAAGTTAATTAATAAATTTTACATTTATTAAACTTAATAGCTGTGCCAAACGTTTGTTTAAAAGTTGTAAAAATATTTATGAAAATTTTACAAGTCAGAAACATATATTCAGTTAACGAACCCATGTCAGGTCGGGTCTTTCAGGCAGATTCCGTCTCATCGCTACTTTGTACACTGTCAGAAATTTCTCGGAAAAAAAATTGTTAAATAACGATTTATTTAATTGCTATCGTACCGTATTTAAACGAAATAGTCAAATAACCATAAATGAGATGGTAATCAAACTGTAAACTGTGAAAAAACCCGTTTATTAACTGCTTTAATTACGGTTAAACAACCAGAATTTTATCGCTCCAACTATTAACAGCTTATGAAGCCACTTGCTTCCTTTCCAACTGCGTACATATTATAGCCGAGGGGGCTAATCTGTCAGTCTCATGACCGACAGAACTGGAGCTCGAGTCCCAGTTGGGACATCACTATTATTCCGCTGTTCCCTTTAGCACATGAAGAGTTTCCAGCATCCCGCACTCTCCAATGTCTAATGAAAAGCCTAGTTCTTGTGTCTAATTAAATTTCTTTTTCACGGTTTTGAAACCATGCTAATTGTAAATGGTTAAAAACGCCGTATAGTTTTGAATTAATGGTTTTATAACCATACTAATTTTAACCGATTTTTGGTTAAAAACGTTTTTTACCTTAAACTTTACGGTTTATCGGATGGACAGACTGCCGCCGGTGATTTTACCATAATTTTAGAATGAAAATTCTAACAGTGTAGGTTTAGGCTGCGATGGATTGGTTAAGGCTCTGTACTTCCATTCTGAAGAACTAGGGTTCGATCTACTGTGGTGTTTCGAAGCCCATCCAGCTTCAAACCACCGCATGCATGCCAGCTTATTTGGAAAGTAAAGACGGCTTGTGCGCAATGCTGACTACATTATCACAATAATGTCATTGGTCTAGAAATTGTGGAACTTTAACTACCATGACCCCCTGGCTGACAACGGGCTGTTGTGGGAATGCTTTAGTCAGTTGGGTTTATGTTGTAAAGGGTTTTCGTAGTGCAACACCTTTTTAAAAAAACTCAATTTTCATTCTATTACTTGTTTCGCATAATTTAAGTTAATGAATATATAAAAATGTATGGTTAAATTTTAAGGCAATTGGAACATTATACAAGGTTTATCATAATAACTGATATTATTTTTTAAAACCTGAAAACAAAATACTATACACATTTAGGGTTTGAAAATTAATATTTAAGTAAAGAGAATGACATACAATTTTGCTCGCTGTGGGATTTCATTGAGTTGTACTAATTTTGGAACTATGACTGCGTACAAAACATGTTTGAGATTATATTTTATCTTTCGTGTGCCGAAAAAATGGTTTCATGTTATTACGACACAGTTTTTAAATAGGAATCACATTGAAAAGAACTTTAAATAAATGTTAAAAATAAAATGTCCAAAGTAAAATACTGATTATTAATGTAGTATTAATATTTCATTGTAAAATTTGTAGGCCGGGATAACCTGGTTGAAATGGTGCTGGACTCCCGTTCGAGAGAACGGAAGTTCGAATCTAGACAGCCAAAGACTCCCCGTGTAGTATATGTTGACTTGTGCACATTAAATCTGTGGGGTCACAAAGTCTTTAATGTTCCCATAACAAATTATACCTCTGGGGGTACTGAATTGACCGTTCTCTGCTTCAGGTCAAAAATATGATCTGTGGATGAATAAATGGATGTATGAATGGGTGCGACGTATAGGTGAGGCAGAAGTCGAATTTTTGACCATAGATGGTGCCTCTGGAGAACAAGAACAATCGCAACCCTTGCCTTGATGGCCTACTACTACAACAACAACATTGTTGCATCCTCATCGAAAGATGCGAGAACCCCCTAGCGAATACGAATAAGACTCAATAACTTTTAAGAACAGTTTGAATGTGAACGGTCGCTTGATGCAAGCGCCTGGCGCTTTTCTCTTTTTTGTAACTCATCTACTTTAGTTGTTCATCTTTTATCGTTATGTTTATTAAATTACTCTAAAATGTTAATTAGCTTGGTCTTCATTCGTACTTAGATGTTTATTATTAAATATATTGTTTCTGCCAACCCGGAAATAGAATCTCAGGTTGACGTTTCAGCTTCGAATATTATTAAGAACAGCAAGGTAAGTGAAACCTTGTTATTTTATTTGATTGTTTGAAGCAGTAATGCCATCAGTATAAAACAAACATAGTAAAATTAGTGATAAGTTGTTAAATTTCCTTAAATGTGATATTTACGATACTTGGTGATGAAGTATAGCTTTAAGTATCGTTTCAATGTTTTCACAAACTTATAGGAAAGGAAAAGAGTGTACACTTTGGAGAAATGTGGCAAGGAAATATTATCCCGCGAAAATAAATGCATACTTGCTTAGTTAACCAGTGAGTATGGGTTATTCAATCCTATAAAAACAAGTACTTGTGACTCGACAATTGGGTATCTGCAA